AAGACTTGGATTTTGTGAGTAGAATTTTTGAATACGAAACTTATGAAAAGATTAATTTGTTGGTCATATTCATAAATAGTTGCGTTAGTCAAAATTGGTATTTGATCATTGTCGTAGGTCACATAATTTTAAACTGATTAGGTATAAGGTTTCATAAGTGGAAATTCTGAAAATTAATCTGGACTTTTATCTATAATGGTTTCCTAAATAAAATAAAAAAGATCATCTTAGTTTTTAGCTTCAAGCCTTCAACAAAGTTAGGTGGTTAGACTGTTAGCTACGAACTAATGTATATACTAACTAGTAATCATCAAGCGGTCAAATATATTTGCGTTAGGACCAACAAACTTCTGTTATTATTACAAAGGTTAAATTTTCAATCAAATCATTTAGGTTATTGTCTCTTCTATTGGTACAATAATTTATTAGGTTATTCCCTTCATAAGTCTCAGGCCTATAATTTTTTGTTTTGTTTTGTTATTAGGATTGGTAAGATAATATTCATGAGCTATAAACTTAATGATTATATCCCACATAAAATCACTTTCGTTAAAGAGTATTTTGACCCTATTTTAAGTTTTAGGTTACACAAATTTTTTATACGATAATATACAATAATAAAAAAAATATAGTTTTAGTGTTGATATGTGATTCTTAATTTTTATTTCTGATATTTTGTATTTGTTCAAGTTATAATTTATCAATACCATGATATAGAGTTGTTAACTATATATATGTTAACACGAACACTTGCAATAGTTAACTATGAGTTAACAGTTGCAATATTTAGCTAAATCATAATGGTTTGTTACCAAAATGTTTAATCATCAATGATTGCAACAATTTATCACTAATAAGTAGTTGTTTTTCTGCACCATGTGTAGATATAAAATTTTTATAATTTAAATTATATTTATATATAAATTCTGTTAATATTCTAGATTTTATTATTTCAGAATAATATTTTAATAAAAAACTAGATTTTGATCCGCGCTTGAGAAGCGCGGATTTTGTTTTAGTTGTAACAAAATGTATCACATGATTCGATTTCTATTATATGATAGTTTTATATGTGAAATTTGATGTATATTTAACCTTTTAGTAGGGTATTTTCCTTGAGTTTTGCATAACCGAATCAGTTTTTGGTTGAACCGAGAATTAAAAAATTAAGTGTTGTGAGAGTATAAAGAATTAAAATACATATTAAATTGAAACCAAAATTGGATGGGTCCAGTGCCCATAGTAAATTTGAAAAATCAATACTATTAAAAAGAAATAAAAAAAAATTGTGGGTTGGTGAGTACCCGCGATTCAAAATCCACCAAATCGCACCCGCCCTACATAAAATACTCATACCCCGCACCAGCCAATCAATTTTTTCAAATTGTTCAACCCGCACCCGCTTGCAGGGGGTTAAACGTGGTGGGACCCGCAGGTGATGACTCAGATTCCCAGCCCTGCTTACATCATAAGCATTTGAGATTTAGACCTCACCTATAACCAAAAATAAATCATAAGCATTTGAGTAATTTCTTCTCACATAAAACCGAAAAATGAAGGAATGATCAAAACATTGAATTAGTAGAAACATATTTCCAACTATATAAACAATGGTTATTTAGTACAAAATCGAAACATAAGTTTTTATTTTCAAGGAATGCCTCTATATTGCTCAATCTTAGCAAATCGTAGAAGACATATCACCATGCCTTCTGTATCTTGGCTAGCTGTATGAAGATTCTCAGCAAATTTACCCCAAAGATAGCAAACTTATCTCTGACCACTAATAGAATTGCATATCAAGTTATAAATCAATATGTTTATAGGCTTATATCTTTTATATTAAATATATAAAACTTACGAAATATCCACGAACTCCAACACGAATATGTTTTGCCATTTCAGGAATGTATGTCTCACGAAGCAAGGATCTTAGTTTCCTATATAAACAAAAAATAACATTATCATTTTAGGTTAAACTTTTACGAAATGAAGATTTCTAAACCATAAATCTATATAAAACCACAAACTTACATTTGCTTCACAAAGGATTAGTTCTATGGTCTCCCCTATGTCTTTCATGAAATGTCTCCATGTATGAAGGATTTTGACTTGGATGCGACATGCAGTCTTCTCGGTTTTATATCGCTCAAGAAAGACAACTACAAATTATTCGTCATTTTTGTTTTAAGTTTTTCTAGGAATGATGAATATAGTGGTTAAGAGAGACTATATTTATAATATGTAGGGACGATATACATTTAGGTTACGCAAATGTAGGGCAAAATATTTAGACGATTTTAAAAAATATCTCTTTCGATGAATAAGGAATATTTCTTGAAGATATTTTGAATTAGATAGGAAGTTTAAAGTTTAATAGTTAATGGTAATCCAACTAAGTAAGTTACCGAAATTTATGGAATACAATCAAAGAATAACTAACCACGATATTGATTGTGGTTAATCTATAAACTTGCAGATGAAGCAATTTATTTATTTGAGTAGGAAGATAATTATAGAAAATAGTTTTTGCAATATTTTCTTAACAAAATTTATCTCGTCTATTAAATGTCACGAATGATAATATATCGACATATGAAGAAAAGTTAATACGAAAATATTTGAAATTATCTTGCATATAACAAATTTAGTTATTATTCAATAAAAATCTTAATATATTATTTAAATATTTTCAAAATCAGATATCAAAGATATTACTAAGATCTTTTCTAATATTGCATTTTGACAATATCTTTTAATATCTTTATCTGTAAAATATAAATATTTATTTTTAATATTTATTTTAAATAATAACATGTAATTACTAATAAATATTATTACAATTAATTTTAATTCATTTGGATTTATTAAATAAGAAATACCATTACTATAATATTTATAAATACATTATTCATATTCTTAATTAAATTAATACAATAAATAAGATATATATATAACTTAATTAAAATTATTTTATAAACTATAAATTAAAAGAATTACATATTCATGACAACATATATTCATAAAGTTTACAACATACTTCAATTTATTAATGCAAAATATTAAAATATATATTAAAAGAATAAAAATTATATTTAATATAATATCTAAATTACTATATTAAATATATAATTTAATATATTTTTATTTGATAAAAAACATTAAATTTTGTTGATTTTATTATACAGTATATTGAATTATATATTATGATTTAGAATTACAATTTATTACAATTTATTTTATAAATATATAAACATTTATAAGTATGAGAGCACTTGAACACCATATAATTAATTTATATTATAGTAAATATTTATGTAGTCAATCTATAGACTGAAATTGTGTAATATAAGGTTTATAAGATAATATAAATGTATTAAATATAATATGGAATATGGTTAGAGTAATTAAAGGGAAGAGAGAGAATAAATCGGGTATATTTAATATGTGATATGATTTGTAAGAATTGATATATATATATATAGATGTAAGACCAAAAAATAAATTACCAAAATACCATTAATGAAGTTGCAGACAACTTCCATCAGTCGATTTTTCAAGGGTGTCTTTACTTTTAATAGTATACATTAATTTATTTAAACATAAAATTAAGTTAAAATAAATATTTTGATTTATTTTAAATTATATTCAAGAAATGATATATATATATATATATATATATATATATATATATATATATATATATATATATATATGGGTGTTTTACAAAAATAATCCACAAATTCTAGTCAAATGCAAAATCAACCTTTTTGTCATTATTAATCATCCATAAAATTTTCAAACCATCCTTATGTTTTTGAAAAATTTACAGAACGCTAAACACCAGCGAACAGCCTCGCACAGATTGCAAGGAAACAACCATCTTTCGTTGTTCACATGGATACCGAATTACCAGTTTGATTTGCAGAGTCTACTTAGATGCTGTTTATGTTGCCGACAAAAAAAAATATTTTTTTTTTACACACAGCTAAATTTCATTAAGTCAAGCTTCTTCACTAGAATAGGAAGAAAAATTATTCATCTTCTTTGATAATAAACATAAAATACATCAGATAAATAATTGAAGAAAAATAAGTATTCAAAAGAAGATGATAGAAAATTCGAGACGAGGCTTGAATTCGTTGAAAAAGAGTTCACGATAGATTTGGACACCTGGAATATAGTCACATAATGTACATTGGAGGTCATACCTCGTCTACAAAAATTAGTGTAATAATCTCGATTGCATCTTCTGGTCTCGTGCAAACCGTTTCACAATGTAAAAATTGATGAGGAATTGAAGCCAAAGCTCGAAATTTTTTTGAAGAAACATCTTCCATAGGGAAATGTATCTCATAAGGAGAAAAGGATGATCGAGACAGAAAAGCATATGGCGAACCATCAGTAAATTCTTCAACAAAGAGATATAAATCAATATTCATAAACTAAGAACCCCGGTGAACCCGTCGGATATCCTTATCTCTTAGCTACAACCTAAGTTACAATTTCTATTTCTTTTCATTCGGACTTCATTAGGCTTGCTAGAATTTAGACAAAAACATCAATCATGGTGAACCAAGCCCATGACAAAAACATTAATTCATTTTCGTGAATAGTTAAGGGAGAGTGCATAAAATGAATCAATTTGTTTGAATTTTATTAGCTTGAAGTACTCCATATGTTTTAACATATAAATTTTTTTTTTTGTTTCACGAGTGATGAATTTCTTTTAAAGTCCAATGCAAAAATAATAATAATTTGATTAAAAAATATCTAATAAAATAATTTGTAATATGGTTTATCATTGGTCATTTTCTTGTTTTTAATCAAATGCTAAAGACAAATAATTTTATCTCAATATTTGTGTTTTATCCAGAACAAATATAATTCGTAAATCCTTTTATTCCCATTTTATTTCTTTTTAGACATTGTTTACCCCAAATTTCAAAAAAAAAAAGTCAAAGTCTATTAAGTTTTTTTTTTTAAACTAACAAGCAAATAAACAGCCCTAAATATAAATGACTAAATTATGTTGCATGAATTATATTTGAAGCTCTTGCCTAAAGAGTAGATACTACTAACATGCTAAAGTGATGTGGGACCGGATTTAGCAATTAGGTTTTGTTACATGAGGAAAAATATTGAAGTACCTTTTGGAACCAAGGCTTATAACTGAGTTTTTTTTTGTTTTAAAGAAAAATATAAGCTAGTTGTGAAACCCAATCCAAGTAAGTATCAATACTGACAATCCTATCTCAAAACTCCTTCAAAAGCACAAAGCAATCTATTTCTTCTACTATATGTTCACTATAAATTCAGAACATAATAGAATTTAAAAAAAAAACGTAGATTCAAGATGTAAATAGTTACAATAAATGTGTGAAACGTAGAAGTAAACTTAAAACAATATGTAGAAGATGTTACTCTTAGAGCTAACTAAAATAAGTAAATGAAGAATGGTGTTGCAAAAAACCTGCACAACGTAAGTTTATTAAGTAAATGATCACATAAATAACGGTTAGCAAGTCTATTACTATACAAACACACCCTTATAAATCTTGGTAATATGAGAAAAACAATTAAAATAAGAAAGTAAAATAAGAAAGTTAAAATAATAATTATACATAATGGAGATTAAGCCAATTTTCACGACACTTTTCATAATTACCATTTCGATATCATTTATGTATCCAAGTTTGGGCCTAGAAGATGTTGACGGAGAACCATTGGTTAATCCTGGTCGCGAGATGGATGCAGTGGAAGTGATATCGCCGGCTTCACAAGAGTACAATTTTTATATGCTTGAGAACCTACAACCAGAATATACAACGAATCTAGAAAAATGCATGGACAAGATGGGAGATGGTTTTAAGAAATGTAATGAAGATGTTATTAAAGAGATTCTTTCAAAGAAACCTGTTTCTAGAGAGTGTTGTGTGAAGGTAGTAAATGCTGGAAAACAATGCTACATGGAGAATTTTTTTTTTTATAACACTGAGATCAAAAAGTACGAGGGAAGACAAAAAGTGATAAACTAACAACAGGAAAATGAGATGTCAGTAGACACCATCATAAGACAAAAGGAAGGAAAAGAAGATAAACATTGTTTACCCACATCCTTGCTTACTGAGCCTCCAGGACGAGTAGATGATGTAGCCACGAAGGAGCATTCCGAGCGATATAGGACTGATGGCGCCGATCCCGAGTAACACTAAGAGCGATAGCCGTTGCAGCTGCATTACGTTCTGGAAGAGAATGATCCAGACTCCATGAATCAATTCTTGAGAAGCCAGAAAATGTTGTGACGAATGTGGCTGTGACTAAGGTAAGCAGCTGGATTTGTAATAGCGACATGTAGGCATTCTGAACAGGTCTCGAAAATAACATTGGAGAAGTGAAGGTTGTGCAAACATTCCACTGCCCAGAAGAGAGTCCACAGGTCTGCCTCGGTCTTTGTACGCATGTAGGAATTAGCCCGACGACTATGCATGATTGTACTTCCTTTTTCATCACGAAGAATCCAAGATGTCCTACTCGGCTGATTTGGATTTATCCACGAGAATCCCACATTACATTTTAGGGTTCCATTAGGGGGTTTCTTCCATTGAGCCTTTTCTATGCCAATACCATCCACTTGGTCCAAAGATCCTGTAAATGTATCATACCATGTGGATTCTTCTTCATATTCTCTTTGAGCAACAAAGGAAGATTCTATAACCTTATCCTTAAAAACAAAAGAGTTCCTAGCTTTCCATATTTCCCATAGTAACCATGGGAAGACGTTTTTGGTATGGATATCCACAGAAGCGCTCTTAACAAGCTTGAGTAAATGAACAAAATTTAAGAATGTGGAATTCCTAGAGAACCCTCCGAAAGGAATTTGGACATTAGCTTGATCCCATATGTCACGTGCTTTAACGCATGTGAACAAAACATGACAAATAGTCTCATCCGCAGTACCACAAACTGGGCAGGTTGGATTTATCGGTATACCCCGTGTAGACAAACGTTGCTTAACGGCTAACGCACCCGATAACGCCCTCCACATAAAATGTTTAATTTTTGGTGGAGCTTTGGTTTTCCATAGATCTTGCCATAATTTTTTTTCCATAGGGGTGAGGGAATGATCTTGAGGATTATCAAAATCCACCAAAGACTCCAACAACTTATAACCACTCCGTGTCGTATATGATCCATTTGGCGTGAAACCCCATCTGATAGAGTCTTCACATACCAGTGATGGTTTCAAAAGTAGTATCCTTTGAACATCCTGAGGCTTAAAAGTCTGACGTAGTAAATTAGTGTCCCATTGGTTAGACCCCGGCCTGAGCAAATCAGAAGCTCTAAGCGCCAAATTTATAGCACTATTTGCACAATACATTGGTGGTCGTGGAATAGTGTCAATAATCCAATTCTCAGCCCAAACATTAGTGGCAGTACCATTAAAAATATGTCGATATAAACCCTTTTTAAGTAATTCTCTTTTGTGCATGATGCTCCGCCATGCATAAGACAGACGTGTCTCCATTCCGCAATCTAGGATATCCCCATTTTAAAAATATTTACCTTTAAGGATCCGAGCAACCAAAGAATCTGGATTATCCCATATTCGCCAAGCTTGTTTTCCAAGCAACGCCTGATTAAAACGACCAATGTCCTGAAACCCAAGTCCACCTTGATCTTTCGGTTTACATAATTTTTTCCACGAAACCCAAGGGATTTTTCTTTTTTTTTTTATCCCCACTGCTTCACCAAAACTCTATTATCGCACTCGTAATCCGTTCACATAGACCTTTTGGTAACCTAAAGACAGACATTGCATATATCAGTAAAGCTAAGGCTACTGATTTTATGAGAACTTCCTTTGCCCCCATTGACAAAGTTTTAGAATACCATCCCTTTAACCGACCTTCTAATTTATCCTTGATAAAATTTAAGAGTGCCTTTTTTAAACCTTGAAAACATTCAGGGAGACCAAGATATGAACCTTCACCACCTTCTTTTTCTATACCCAGAACCTCTTTGATCATCTGTTGATTAACATTATCTATTTTTTTCCCAAAAATGATGGAAGATTTCAAAGGGTTAATCATTTGTCCAGACGCATCCCCATAACATTTTAGACCGTTCATAATTTCTTGACTGTCACCGACAGAGGCTTCACATAACAACAAGCTATCATCCGCAAACAACAAATGGTGCACAGAAGGACTACTCGTTGCTAACTTTATACCATGTAATTTTCCTTGTGTTTCCGATCTATTTAGAACATGAACTAAAGCTGCAGCACATAAAATTAATAGAAAAGGAGATAAAGGATCCCCTTGACGAATGCCTCGTTCTGGTTTAATAAACCCATGGGAACGACCATTGAGTAACACCGAGAAAGAGACAGTAGTGATGCAGGACATTAACCAAACGACCCATTTTCGATGGAATCCCATTTTTTCTAATAAAACTTCTAGGAAATTCCATTCTACCCGATCATAAGCCTTTGACATGTCTGTTTTAATAGCCATACATGTTTTACCAATTTTATCATTTGTACGAAGTGCATGCACCAGCTCATGTGCTATAATGACATTGTCCGTAATTAACCTACCTCCCACAAAAGTCTCTTGAGTTTCTGATATTATATGTGGCAAAACCATCTTCAACCGCTCACAAAGAATACGAGAAATGATTTTATATTGAACACAACACAAACTAATGGGACGCATATCCTTCATTTCTGTAGGATTCAAAATTTTAGGCAACAAGGATAATTTCGTATGGTTCCATCCAGCAGGCATGTTTGCTATTTTAAAAAAACTTTGAACATCCTGAATAATTTTCTATCCTACAATATGCCAGTATTTCTTATAGAAAAAACCCGTAAGTCCATCTTCTCCCGGCGCACTACTACTTTTGATACCAAAAGCAGCATCCTTGATTTCCTCAGAAGTTACCTCCCTGATTAATAATGCATTCATCGCGGAGGTAACCCTAGTATCAAATTTATCAAATAGTGTTTCCAAATCAATCGGGTTGGAGCTTGTAAACAAATCCCTAAAATATTCAGTTGCAATGTGTCCTTTAGAACCTTCAGAATAATGTTCATTACCAAATATATCTTTGAGCATCAAAATCTTATTCCTCAATTTTTTCCCCTTCACCACATTATGAAAGTATGTTGTATTTCTATCGCCTTCCCTTTACCATTCCTCCCTACTTTTTTGTCTCCAAAAAATTTCTTCTTCCCTATAAGCCGCAGCCAATTCTTGTCTTAACCGTCGCATCAAACCATAAATAGGAAATTGCTTGGAACTTTCTTTATCTAAGTCACACTGCAGCCGATCTATCCTAGTTTTTGAATTCCAGTCATTAGCCTTTTTAAGCTTAGACAATTCGGATCTACACCGAGCAATACGATCAAGTACAGATAAATTTGAGTCAACATTCTCAGCATCCCAACCTCGGATAATGGCTTCATTAACCCCCCCTTTTTCCGAACATACGTTTATCAAAGTAAAACCGTCGTCTCTGCAAAGTTTCCGGCTCAAATGCAAACTCTATTCGTAGGGGTCGATGATCAGAGGGCCACATACTCATATAATCAGTAGATGATTGAGGAAAAAGACGAAACCATTCCGCATTCCCAAAGGACCTATCAAGACGACATTGTACCCAATGATTGTCTCGCCTACCCGCCCACGAAAGAGAGTTTCCTGTAGTTTTCATTTCTCTGATTTTACATGCTTCAGCCATGTTACGGAAATCAAAAAAGTAGTTTCTTCCCTAATAGCACCACCCAATTTATCGCTATTATTCATTAATTCGATAAAATCTTCCACTAAGACCCATGCCTCATCCCTATTTATTCCAACATCTGTTAATTTATCCCAAATGAATCGTCTTCTTCCTGTTATCGGATCTCCGTATACACATAACAGGAAAAAAACCAACGATCCCATTGTTATTTGAAGATCAATAATTCGATTATCACTATATAAAATTTCCACTACGTAACACGCTTTCCACATTAGAGCTAAACCACCACTACGACCAACAGGTTCAACCGTATGTAAATAATCATACCCAAGACTTGATTTTAAAGCCTCCATATAAGCTAATTTATGTTTCGTTTCCATGAGGAATAAAAAATCTGGGGAAAACTGACGACGAAAATCCCTAATACGTTGAACTGTGTCCGAATTACCGGCCCCTCTGCAATTCCAACTTAAAATACTCATGATGTATAATTTAACCAAAATTTTTTAAAACCTCCGATATAAAAAACTTCACAAGGACCCCAACCTAATAAGTTAGTTGCAATACATCGAGGGTATCAGAAGAACCCACGACCTGGAACCATCCAACATAATTTAAATGAATTCTCAGAAAGATTATATAAATGAAACCGTACACCACAGATTCCCAACACTCGAGATATCATCAGACTACAGATTTTCGATAATAAGAAATCAACATCTAAAAAGACCCATGTTACCTTATCCAAGGACTTTACAATAGACCCAAATAAAACCCATAAACATACGAATTGGACAGACTAAACAACATCCATAACCATGAGAACCTTGAAAAAAACCTTCGTTACATAAGTAACCAAATCATCCAAAAGTTTACAAATGTTAGAGGCTCATGTACTAACAGAAAAACCAGACAGTAAAAACCCAACTCGTGTGATCCAGCAGCAAAACCAAAGGCTACTTTCATAATTCCTTTTAGAAAACCTGAGCAAACAAAATCAGAACATAAAGTTACCATAACTTGTGTAATAAGGAAGCTTATATGTCTATTCACCGGACCTGGACAAAAAGATAAAATGCCAAAGATACCAGACAAAAATAAAATGGTCAAGTTTAGACCCATCGAACAAATCACGTTACCATCTATAATTCCCTTTAACCTCAATGTCTTTACTACAACACACCATAGTAATAAAGACACTATATTCCCTTTCAATCGATGTTTCTTTCCTAGAGAAATCCATATGTACATTTGGAAACCAAATAAAACCAACGGAATACTATAACCAATGCCACTCCATATACAATAAAGATTTAATATTCTCCAAAACCAGAAAATTGATGTTTCACTTTTATCAACTCAAACGCTTTGCTCCTAAAGTTTCTTTAAGAACTAATGATGTCTGGGATAGATGCTTTGCTGAAGCAGTAAGTCCTCCATCATCTCACAATAAGAAGATCAAATATCTTGATTAAACCTTTGTAATAACTAGTGGTTCATAAAATGATTTATTATTAAATTATTATACAAATAAATAAAATATATTTTATCAGTCTATTCATTCTCCTAACTCTCATGCGGTATCTTGTATTTTCTTCCACATGATGAATCATGCTAAACAAAATCGTATATTTATTTTCTTATACCTCAAATAAATTATATTTTTGACTATTTAGTTAATTTATAAAAAAATTAAAAAATGAGAAATAATATAGGAAAACCAATAGGTTACTTTGATATTTTTTCACAGAAAACTTACTCTCATTTTTTTTGTGATCCTAGCTAGGATCTAATGTTTAAATTCTTTATAGCGATTGGTGAAATTAATTACGTAAAACTATTTGTAATATTTCCACAAAACACAAAGCATATGTAGCTTTCTCCAGAAAAAAATAAACAAAATCAAACTAAGAGTATCTCCAATGGTATTTTACAATTCTCTATTAACGTTATTAATAGGGTAAAAACTGTCTCAAGCGGTATGCTATATCTTGCACTAATATAGAGTTATACCAAGTGATACACGAATATAGAGTAACTTTGTCCATTTACTATGTTTTTAAAGTGGAACTACTTCTTTACAAAATGACTCTTCATATTTATATATATTTTCATTTTCACCAAATAAAATGATATAACATAACTTATTAATTTCATAATAATAGTTTGTAATAAAATTTTAATTTTAAATTACTTGTTTGGTTTATAAATAGTGTGATTATGATATTATATTGTTTTAAAAAGAGTGAATTTTTAATCTTTTTAAAGTTATGGATATTTAATTGATTAAAAAATAAACTGAAAAATATATTTGGATTTTTACTTTTAGAGAAAAAATAGAGCTATAAGAACTTTTTGAAAACCAAACTTGATATTCACTCGGTATAGATACTAGTTGGACTGGTTGAACCTGGTTTTCTATTTTTTTAAATATAATCATATATTTCCCAGTTTTCTCAAATCCCGATTTTAAACCAAACCGGACTATGTTTATCCAACAGTCATTGTTGGACTAGTTTGACTGGCTAGTCCAGTTTGAATTTCAAAACACTGACTAGAAGTAACCCCTTGAGTAAAATTTTGAGATAATTTGCTAGTATATCCTAAATGGGCCTCTAATTAGGCAAATGTCCATGATTTGAAATTATTAAAAAAATGACGATTTTGACCCTATTCTCCTCAATCTCTCTCCTGATACTCTCTCTCCTGACACCCTCTCTCCTAACATTCTATAATAGCGATTCCACTTTTTTTTGCTACTCTATCTCTGATTCAAACTTTCTCATTATCTCTTTTATTATTTGACCATTTTCTCTTTAATTTTTGTTTTGTTTTTTCTTTACTTTTTGAAATAATAATATTTTTTTAAATTATTATTTTCTATATATAATACTATCAGATGTGTTATAAATATTATATATAGAAAATAATGTGATGTTAACTGTTAACAAATACATGTCCAGGTGTATTAACAGAGACATTAACCGTTAACAATTTTTGTAGATGTTAACAGATGTGTTACCTGTTAACAAATACATGTACCAGATGTGTTAACAGAGAGAATAACTGTTAACAAATTTATTAACAACTAACACCTCTGGTACATGTATTTGTTAACAGCTAACACATCTATTAACATTTACATTATTTGTTACATATAACATTTGATATGACTGAAAACAAACTGTAGATTTTAGAGATGTTGAGATCTTGCAATCAGTTGTAATTTATGTTTTCAATCATATCAAATGTTAGATTATTTTATCTATTAAAATATTTTGATATTATATTTTCAAAAATATTATTATTCAATAATATTGTTAGCCTTTAAAAAAATTTAGCAAACATGTGGACAAAAGTGATGTAGGTATAGGTAATATGACTGTCAATTCTCTGTAACCAGCAGAAAAGTGTGTCAGTTGCCAAGAGTATTTTCGTCCAAAACCAAACAAAATGTATGTTTTCATCCCCAAATGTCCCATCATGGGCAAACCACTAATTAAAGCCTCTATTATGGGCATTTCCCTAATTCTCTCTAAAAGTTTTCCTGTACTTTTGGAGTGTTATATTTTAAAGAGAAAAATAAAGACAGCCATTAGAGATTGTCTAAGTCACCTTAAAATGGATCTACCTCGGCAATTAGCCTGTAACGTTTACTACTTGACTTATATCGTGTCAGTTTGAGTATATTAAAACTGTTTTGGATTAATTCGAATATCAAATAAATTTTTTTAATGAGTCCAGAATGTTTGAATATAATTATGAACTTCATGAAAGAAAAATGATTTATGCTTAGGTATGAATCGACTATTTTTCTGTTACTAAATCATAAAGTTATATAAGACAAGAGTAGACAAAGCTCTTTAACATTATTTGCACTGGACATGTATGATTCTTCTATAATTTCTCTTTGGATTTTTGAGATGACCAATATGTTTAGACCATTAAATGATTTCAAGAAACATAGACCCGATTTACAATAATCTAAACTATTAAAATTAGAGTACAAATAAGAATACTCCTTAATTTTCCTTAAAAATTACATCTTTATGTCATTGGCCTTAATCAATATATGGGCTTGGTCAACTAAAATAAAACTAAAACATAATCCATACATATTGTGATGAAAATAAAATTTGAATATAAAATTAAGTTGTTGTCCATTTTAATTATAAGCTTATAACCAAATAATCTAAACTAATAATTTCAATTAAATCATTTCTCATTTTTAATTTGAATTTGGTTTCATTATTATTTTTGTTTCCCTAAATAATATATTTTTAAAAAAAATTCTAAAAGATTTTTTTTAACTTTATATAGAAAAACTCTTACATTTTAGTGTTTATTTTGCCAAATAAGTTAAATAGAGGTACAATAAAAGAAAAACACAATCTTATAGTTTTTTTTTTTAACTCAACATCAAATTTCATTAGCCAAATGTGAATACATGATTACAACCACAAGAGATTTTAAACCCGACATACAACCGACGAGATCTAGTATCGTCTAGGAACACTGAGTCGAAACTGGTTTGGATTCTAGACTAGCCAACCTAATTCATCGGTGTATTTTTCACCACAAAGAAACGAGTTTTTCTCACGACCCAAGAGAAACCGTCTCTTGACCCCTGCTTAGACCACCTAAGTTCGACCATACAAAGTGAAAGCATTAAGACATAAACAAACTAGACCAAATCAGGAATAACCATTCAAGCTCCAGCATTAGTCGCTGATGGGTATGAATTCAGCTCTCGGACCAAGCATCTTCACCGAAACGATTCAAATTCTTGACTTAGTTGTAGTTTTCGCGCTCGGACGCTTCACTTCATAGCCTTCCTCACTACTCAAGGAAGCGGCCTTTTACCCCTAAAACAGACCAAACGAGACGACAACACTTGAAAGCCCGAGAGAAAAACGGACCGTAAGACCAGCGTCTTGAAACAGCTCGTTGCATTGGCCCCATATGATTGGATTGACAGCCCCGGCCCAATACTTCTTCACCTTGCGGCGGCTCACTGGTATACAGCCCGAACCTCTGAGATCAAAGTATCCGCTCCTTAGCCACAAAAATGGGATGGACCCGTATTGAAAAATCGGACCTTGACGTCAGCATCAGAACAGCATTTGAGATTTCAAAGGCGTGAAGCTCCACCGCCGTCATCGACGCTGGGATGTGGAGAGACACCACGTACCCGCTGCAGGCTTCACCTCTCCGTTAGACTCTCCATGAGGCTAAACCTACGACGTGCTGATCTCGGGAACCGAGGCCAGACCTTCTTTCACCAACTTTCGCATTACTCCTCCGTTAGTCTCACCGTCACTTCAGACGATAGATCCAGGACAGAGGAGGTCTTCCACTGAAACCACGCGCTCCCAACGTGAGTAGAGCTCCACAGATCTAAAGATGGAAAATTGATCTGTCGACTCCCTCGGTCCTAAAAGCCGACCTCCTTCGCTAAGACTCACCGCTCCTTCAAAGACGCCGTAAGCTACCCTTTGACCCTTAGATTTCGAGACCCCGACGAATCAGAACATTTAGTATCTCATCTTCAGGCAGAAACAGAGCGAGAGGGGCAAAGGAAAAATGGAGAAAAGGAAAGGAGAAGCCCTTCGGCACCGGACGAGAGCCGGACGGAGACTGGAGATTTGCAGATCTGATTTTTTTTGTTCGCAAGCTGAGAGGGAGACTTGATTTCACTGGGTATATTCTATATTTTACACAATCTTATAGTTTATAGGTGAAGACTAATCACATTGAACAAGACACATTAATGTCACTCTTAAATAACATATGAATCTATAATATAAAAACATAAACAATTAAATATATCACCTTTTCAAAAATTTAAAAATATATGATTATGAATAATAAACATCAGTGGGTCAAAAACTACTTTCTTTATTAAAAGAAATGTTTGAAACAAAGAATTAAATTTAAAAAGACACGTAGATGTTACTCTGAAGTTCTTTTGAGTTACTCTGAAGTTCAAGCCGGTCTCCTTAGCCTTCATTGGGCCACTGAAAGCATGGTGAATCTCCCTAAGAAACGAGTCATCATTGAGTTCTCCTCTCCAGCTTCGCGAGACGCTCTGTCCCGCCCTGAAGCTTATCCACAATATGGCAGTCTCTTTACAGATCTTCAGAACAAACTCTTGTGTATTGACTTTTGGTGCCTACGACTTGTCTCCCCTATAGAAAACATAGCTTCTTCTGAAATTGCTCTCTCTGTCACACGAGATAGACCTACCCAGTCATACGTTGCCCATCATATATGGTCCGTCCTGGCTCTTTTCAGACTTGCGTGCTTATGCTTTAGGACATCTCTAGGGCCTCATCTACCTTTTCCTTTTCCCTCTCTGTTTTTCTCTGTTTCATTCTGGTTTTCGGAGTTTCATTTAGTCTTTCCTATTTTTGAAGTCATATCTTGGCTTCCTTTGTTGTACTCTCTGAAATTTCATCAATAACAACCCGTGTTTAAGAAAAAACGTCCAAAACCAGTCGATTACTGTATATACACAGTCAGTTGTCTTTCATGAGAATATGAGGAAGCAATTAAAATATCTATATTATTAAAAGTGAAGGCACCCTTGAAAAATCGACTGATGGAAGTTGTGTGCACCCTTCATTAATGGCATTTTGGTAATTTATTTTTGTCTTACATCTATATATATATCGAATGTTACAAATTATATCACATATTGCATATACCGAATTATTATCTCTCTTTCCAGTAATTATTCTCTCTTTTCCCATTAATTATTCTCTCTCTTCTCATTAATTACTCTAACCATGTTTCATACTATATTTCATACATTTATTGATTTCCAATATTATATTACACGATTTGGTATATGCATCATATATGGACTTTATAACCACATTACATACTATATTTCATACATTTATATTATATTATACACCTTATATTACATGATTTCAATCTATAGATTTTCGGCATTATACTTTTATGGTTGATTTTTTTTTGTATATAAATCATATATAGACTTTATAACCATATTCCAAACTATATTTCATACATTTATATTGTGTTATACACCTTATATTACACGATTTCAATCTATATATTTCCAACATTATACTTTTTTGGTTGACATTTTTTGGTATATGCATCATACATGGACTTTATAAACCTTCATTTCATTTATATTGTGTTATAGATCTTCATTTCATGATTTATCTTCATATATGAAATATGTTTTCATGTCTCACTAAATTTACCCGTATTTATATACCATATTATATTTCATACAATTATATTGTGTTATATCCCTTATTTTACATGATTTCAATCTATATATTTCCAACACTATACTTTTTTGGTTGACAATTTTTGGTATATGCATCATACATGGACTATATAAACCTTCATTTCATTTATCTTGTGTTATAAACCTTCATTTCATGATCTATCTTCATATATGAAATATGTCTTCATGTCTCACTAAATTTACCCGTATTTATAAACCATACTATATTTCCTACATTTATATTGTGTTATAGACCTTATATTACATGATTTGAATTTACAGATTTCCAACATTATACTTTTTTGGTTTACATTTTTTGGTATATGCATCATACATGGACTTTATAAACTTTCATTTCATTTATATTGTGTTATAGACCTTCATTTCATGTTTTCTTCATATATGAAATATGTTTTCATGTCTCACTAAATTAACATGTATTTATATACCATAGTTAGACGACATATAGTGATATCAACCAAAAAAGATAAATCATCACTCTCATGTTGACATTTAATGGACGAGATACGTTTTGTTAAAGAAAATATTGCAAATACGGTTTTCTATAATTATCTTTCTACTAAAATAAAGAAATTTTTTTACCTACAAGTTATAGATTAATCACAATCAATATCGTAGATTCCATAAATTTCGGTAACTTACCGTAGTTGGATTACCATTAACTGTTAAACTTTAAACTTCCTAACTAATTCAAATCTTCAAGAAATATTCCGTATTCCTCAAAAGAGATATTTTAAAAAACCGTATGAAATTCTCCTCTACATTCACGTAACATAATTGTATATCGTCCCTACCTATTTTAAATATAGCCCCTCTTAACCATTATATTTATCATCCCTTCAAAAACCTAACAAAAATGGCGAATAATTTGCAGTTGTCTTTCTTAAGCGATATAAAACCGAGGAAGACTGATGTCGCATCCAAGTCAAAATCCTTCATACGTGGAGACATTTCATGAAAGACTAAGGGAGTCCATGGAACTAATCCTTTGTGATGCAAATGTAAATTTATCGTTTCTTATAGATTTTTGATTTAGATATCTTCATTTTGTTCAAGTTTAACCTAAATGATAATGTTTTATGTTTATATAGGGAAGTAAGATCCATGCCTCGTGTAACAAGACATACATTCCACGACTGGCAAAAGAAATTACTCAAATGCTTATTATTTATTTTTGGTTATAAGTGAGGTCCAAATCTCAAATGCTTATGATGTAAGTCAGATGTTTGTTAATTCTGAAATACCAGAGACAGATGAATTTAAACAACGGTATTTATCTTCTTCAACAAATTTTTTTTCACTTTTTAATAGTATAGACTAAATTATAAAACTTATTTATAATCGCAGAGGTAATGATGATTTTCGAGCGTTAACCCTGGCTGAATCAAAATCGCAGAGGTAATGATGATTCTTCATTGATCCGTTTTAGGATTATGTTTGTTTAGAAATAATTTTTTAGTTATGTTTTGACAATCGCTTAATGATGATTCTCGAGCGTTAATCCTCGCTGTATCAAAATCGCGTTTTGTTTTCACCCAATAATTTTCATTTTAAATAATATTTGCTTTTTCTTGACGAATTATTGACTGATTTATTTATATGAAAAATACATAGTGTTGTATAAAACAGATCAATATACTATGATATAATAAACGAAAATCGATTTACACTATATTCGCTGCATATTGAAACAGAAAATGAAATACTTGGAGTAACAAATCTCATTTGTTAATCCAGAATCTTGAAATATTTAAATTCTTCCTTATATACTTGGAGTTATCTTTGACTCTCATAAAAAAATTATTTTTGAGTTACCTTTGACTCTCATAAATTAATTTAATATTTTATTTTATGGTCAACAAAAAAATACTCGCCCTTCTTAAGCGCGGGTCAAAATTGAATATTATTTTTATTGTTCAAAAATCATAGATGTAATTATTTTAACTAACATAAATAAACTATATAAGAAGCGCGGGTCAAAATTGAATATCATTTTTATTGTTCAAAAATCATAAATGTAATTATTTTAACTAACATAAATAAACTATATAATTCGATTAACATATTTATTGGATTTAACTAAAAAATTTTAATACAATTTTGGGCATTTTCAATAGTATTGATTTTCAAATTTACTATAGGCCATGGACCCATCCAATTTTGGATTCCATAAATTCTGGCAACTTACCGTAGTGGTATTTTACCATTAACTGTTAAACTTTAAACTTCTTAACTAATTCAAAATATCTTTAAAAAATATTTCTTATTCCTCGAAAGAGATATTTTTTCAAATGGTCTAAATATTTTTCCCTACATTTGCGTTACTTAAATTTATATCGTCCCTACCTATTATAAATATAGGCTCTCTTAATCACTATATTCATCTTTCCTTGAAAAAATTAAAACAAAAATGACGAATAATTTACAGTTGTCTTTCTTGAGCGATATAAAACCGAGGAAGACTTCATGTCGCATCCAAGTCAAAATCCTTCATACATAGAGACATTTCATGATAGACATAGGGGAGACCATGAAACTAATCCTTTGTGATGCATATGTAAGTTTATCGTTTTGTATAGATTTATGATTTAGATATCTTCGTTTTGTAAAAGTTTAACCTAAATGATAATGTTTTCTTTTTTTAATATATAGGGAACTAAGATCCATGCCTCGTGTAACAAGACATACATTCCTGAATTGGAAAAACATATTCGTGTTAGAGTATGGAGGAACATTGATCGTTTCAGTGTGTGTGCCGCTGGTGGATCATACAGATCAACTCAGCATAAGTATCGCGGGTCAAAATCTGATATGTGTTTCAGTGTCTCGGCCATGGACCCATCCAAGCGCGGGTCAAAATGTAATATATGTTTTAACTTTTCATACTCTCACAATACTTATTTTTTTGATTATCTGTTAAACCACAAACTGACTCGGTTATGCAAAACTCAATGAAAAGATCCTACTAAAACGATAAATATACATCAAACTTCTCATAGAAAACTATCATATAATAAAATAGAACCATTTGATATATTTTGTTACAACCAAAATAAAACCCGCGCTTCTCAAGCGCGGGTCAAAATCTAGTATATTTTTATTACAAACATATCAGAAGAAAACAGACACTTCGTCAAAGGCACAAAACAATATATTTCTTCTATTATTTGTCTTTTGACTTTGTGAGATGTTCACTATAAATTCAGAATATGAAAGAATTTCAAGAAACACAGATTCAAGATATAAATAGTTTCAATAAATGCGTGAAATGTTAAAGTAAACTTAACCGATATGTAGATGATACTCTTAGAGCTAACTGAAGTAAATAAATTAATTATGATGTTGCAAAACAACCGCAAAACGTAATTTTATTAAGTAAATGATCACCAAAAATAACGTTCAAAGCAAATCTATTACTATAAATAAACACACCCTTATAGAACTTGGTAATAGTAGAAAAACAATTAAAATAAGAAACTAAAAAAAATAATTATACCTAATGGAGATTAAGACAATTTTCATGTCATTTTTCATAATTACCGCTTTGGTATCATTTGCATATCCAAGTTTGGGCCTAAAAGATGTTGACGAAGAACCATTGGTTAATCCCGGTCGCGAGATGGATGCAGTGGAAGCGATATCGCCGGCTTCACAAGAGTACAATCTTTATATGCTTGAAAACCTACACCCAGAATATACAACGAATCTAGAAAAATGCATGGACAAGATGGGAGATGGTTTTAAGAAATGTAATGAAGATGTTATTAAAGAGATTCTTACAAAGAAACCTGTTTCTAGAGCATGTTGTGTGAAGGTAGTAAACGCTGGAAAACAATGCTACATGGAGATTAGAAAATTGATGTTTCAATTTTATCAACTCAAACGCTTTGTTTCTAAAGTTTCTTTAAGAACTGATGCTGTCTGGGATAGATGCTTTGCTGAAGCTGTAAGTCCTCCATCATCTCACAATGAGAAGATCAAATATCTTGATTAAACCTTTGTAATTACTAATGGTTCATAAAATGATTTATTATTAAATAATGATTTATTATACGATATAAATAAAATATATTTTTATCAGCCTATTCGTTCTCCTAACTATTATGTTCTATCTTGTATTTTCTTCCATATGATAATCATGCTAAACAAAATTGTATATTTATATTCTTATACCTCAAATAAATGATATTTTGACTATTTAGTTAATTTATAAAAAAATTAAAAAGTGAGAAACGAGAAGACTCAGACCACGAAACGAGAAGCTACCAAAACTAACCAAAGGGAAATAATAGTTGATTGAGAAAGAAGAGGAGAAGATAAAACAAAATACTATGCAGAGATGAGGAGCAGCATCAGTTAGAGGAGATAGCAAAAGCGAAAGAGGCAAAGGAGAGGAAGAAGAAGAGAGAAGAAAACTAAAAAACAAGAAAATGAGAAGTCAACTATTAAGGCTCAGAATGAAGCTAAAGAATAAGAGATAGTAAAATTACCTTTCACAATAAATTATAGACTTTCTCGCAAGTGTTGGGACAAAGGAAGATTGAAAGACTCCAAGCATGTCATTGATCTGATGAACAAACTCTCTACTCTTCAACTGTGAAAAGGTACGGTTAATTAAGAAGTCAAATATCTATAGTGAATAAACCAGCTCTTTTCATCTTATTTTGTTTTCTCTGTTTCCTGATTTTTGATTTGTGTTCTTTTTCTTGAGTTCTTTTGATAATGCTTGATAGTGTATTACTGTATTACATAGATTTGATAGTGATATAAACAATATAATGGGGTTCAATATCCATCATCTTCTTTTGTTTTCTACCCTCATTTTGAACGTGTGTACATTTTTTACTCCTTACAACTTGGATAAAGATTACCATCTCCGTCAAAGCTTCTGGCTAATTAAGAATCAGTATAGTTTAAATATGCTACTGCAACTCTTTATCCTTTTCCCTCTATTTGAAATGTGAAATGTGCTTACTAAGCTTTCATAATTATTCTCTTTGCTCACGAAAAGAGGAAAAAAAAAACTGAAGGAAAGAATGAGCTTATTGCATCAGAAAATAACAAAAATAACTAATCAATACATCAAAAACGTGTATCTAAAATTCAAAGAACAAAACAAAATGTAGAGGAGGGTCAAGTCAAATTTATTTATTTTACTTTTAAGGAACTGAAGAAGCAAGAGAAAACTGCGGCAAGAGAAAATTTAGTTCTGGTTCTTTCATGGTAACGCCAATCTCTCATTTTCTACTGTAATCTATGGTTTATTTAAGAGAAATGAAGAAGTGTCACAACCTCACACTCTTTCCCATTGTTCTTTTTTATAATAATTTTGTATTGTGATTGGTGTTTTTCATCTCTTTTTTTTTTTAGTGGAATCTTTAACTCATTGATTTAACACTAGAGCCATATATTTTTTTTTTTTTGAACAGAAAATAATGAACTAGAGCCATATATTGTAATGTATTAGTTTCTTTTGCATAGGTATGTCTCAGAAGTCAGAAACATGTTTTTAAGTTTTCATACCATAATCTATTATTAATGCAATAATTTCATCTTCTTTTTTATATTTAATATAATTATATACAATTATACAACAACCATTAAAAACACTATTTTCATCCAAGAATCAGATAAGTCATATATTCAGTACCCCCATTGATTTCTAAGTAAGGACTAAAATCCATATTTACATGCTTGATCTTTAGTGTTGGTTTTTTTTTTTAACAACATCTTTACTGTTGGTTATATAAAAAGGAAAATGACTTAACAAATCTATATTAGGCTAGAATTACGAGGCTATCAATTACATGAATATAAAAACTACGATTACATGTTAGCACAATAACATCAAAAGTCAATGTCAAATGTATTTACTATAAACAAGCTAAACAATTTGTGTTCATACTTTAAGCAAGAGATGTCGAGTTTTACTTTAAGAAAGAAATTATTTTTCTAAAAAAAAAATAAAACCAATCAATTTAACAACAATGTGACACTCGAAGTGGTACTTCAAAATCAATAATCGTGAATACTACAAATATCAACCACTGCTATCATGTGTAGCTATAAAATATTTAAAATTATTATTTTATACCTACAAATTAATCAAATATTTAAATACACATAAATACATATTTTGTAAAAAAAAAAAGATAGTATTTCCGCGCGACGCGCGGATAGACCACTAGTTTACAATAATCTAAAGGGTCAACGATCTATTTCCCCACGAGAACTATCATATAGCATCAGATATCCACCGAACTATGACCTCATGCCATATCTCCATAAATCGAAAGTTACAGACTTATTTCTCCCATGAATCGATAGTTCGAAACTTAATTATCCATATACTCTAATTTTTATTGGTTTATTGTCAACCATATAATTTAAACCAAATAAACAAGTCAATAATCCATTTTTTTCAGGAAAAAAAAAGAAAATGCTAATACACTATTTAATCTCCACACTATCATTATCATCAAAGAAATTTTGAAGATTTTCATATTTTGAAAGACTTTGAAAACTTTTTTTTTTATAAAATTGAATTTTTGTTTGGTTTTAAAGTTGTTTGGTTAAAAATGAACCGGTTAAACCATTTTTTATGTGTAATTAACTTCTAAATTATTAGTTTGAGGAGAAATAGATTTTTAACTATCGATTCGGGGTGAAATAAGTTAACAACTTATATTTCAGGGAGATATGACACGAGGTGATAGTTACATGGATATCTGATGTTATATGATAGTTTTTTGTGGGGAAATAGCACGTTTACCCTAATCTAAACTATTAAAACTAGAGTACAAATAGGAAATACCCTTTAATTTCCTCAAAAATTTACACCTTTATGCCATTGGTCTTAATCCATATATGTGCTTGGTCAGCTAAAATAAAACTAAAACATAATCCATACAAATTGTGATGAAAATTTTGAACATAAAATTAAGTTGTAGTCCATATTAACTATAAGTTCATAACCAAATAATATAAACTAATAATCTCAATTAAATCATTTCTCATTTTAATATTTTTTTGAATTTGGTTTCATTATTTTTTTTTGTTTCTCTAAATATTTTTTTTTAAACAAATTCTCAAAGATTTTTTTTGAACTTTATATAGAAATAATCTTACATTTTAGTATTTACTTTGCCAAATAAACTAAATAAAAATACAAAAAGAAAAACACAATCTTATAATTTATAGGTGAAAACTAATGACATTGAACAAGATACATTAATATCACTCTTAAATAACATATGAATCTATAATTTAAAAAAATAAACAATTAAATATATCACCTTTCCAAAAATTAAAAATATATGATTATGAATACAAACATCCGCGGATCAAAAACTACTTTCTTTATTAAAAGAAATGTTTGAAACAAAGAATTAAATTTAAAAAGACACGTAGATGTTACTCTGAAGTTTTTTTTAGTTACTCCGAAGTTCAAGCCGGTCTCCTTAGTCTTCATTGGGCCATTGAAAGCATGGTGAATCTCCGTAAGAAACGAGTCAACATTGAGTTCTCTTCTCCAGCTTTGCGAGATGCTCTGTCCCGCCCTGAAGCTTATCCACAATATGGCAGTCTCTTCACAGATCTTCAGAACAAACTCTTGTGTATTGACTTTTGGTGCCTACGACTTGTCTCCCCTATTGAAAACAGAGCTTCTTCTGCAATTGCTCTCTCTGTCACACGAGATAGACGTACCCAGTCATACCTTGCCCATCATATATGGTCCGTCCTGGTTCTTTTCAGACTTGCGTGCCGATGCTTTAGGACATCTCTAGGGCCTCATCTACCTTCTCCTTTTCCCTCTCTGTTTTTCTTTGTTTCCTTCTTGTTTTCAGAGTTTCTTTTATTCTTTCCTATTTTTGAAGTCATATCTTGGCTTCCTTTGTTGTACTCTTTGAAAGTTCATCAATAACAACCAGTGTTTAAAAACAAACGTCCAAAACCAGTCGATTACTGTATATACACAGTTGTCTATCATGAGAATATGAGGAAGCAACTAAAATATTTTTTTTATTACAAACATATCAAAAGAAAACAGACACTTCGTCAAAGGCACAAAACAATATATTTCTTCTATTATTTTTCTTTTGACTTTGTGAGATGTTCACTATAAATTCAGAATATGAAAGAATTTCAAGAAACATAGATTCAAGATATAAATAGTTTCAATAAATGCGTGAAACGTTAAAGTAAACTTAACCGATATGTAGATGTTACTCTTGGAGCTAACTGAAGTAAATAAATTAATTATGATGTTGCAAAACAACTGCAAAACGTAAGTTTATTAAGTAAATGTTCACCAAAAATAACGTTCAAAGAAAATCTATCACTATAAATAAACACACCCTTATAGAATTTGGTAATAGTAGAAAAAAATTAAAATAAGAAACTAAAAAAATAATTATACCTAATGGAGATTAAGACAATTTTCATGTCATTTTTCATAATTACCACTTTGGTATCATTTGCATATCCAATTTTGGGCCTAAAAGATGTTGACGAAGAACCATTGGTTAATCCCGGTCGCGAGATGGATGCAGTGGAAGCGATATCGCCGGCTTCACAAGAGTACAATCTTTATATGCTTGAAAACCTACAATCAGAATATACAACGAATCTAGAAAAATGCATGGACAAGATGGGAGATGGTTTTAAGAAATGTAATGAAGATGTTATTAAAGAGATTCTTACAAAGAAACCTGTTTCTAGAGCATGTTGTGTGAAGGTAGTAAACGCTGGAAAACAATGCTACATGGAGATTAGAAAATTGATGTTTCAATTTTATCAACTTAAACGCTTTGCTTCTAAAGTTTCTTTAAGAACTAATGCTGTCTGGGATAGATGCTTTGCTGAAGCTGTAAGTCCTCCATCATCTCACAATAAGAAGATCAAATATCTTGATTAAACCTTTGTAATAACTACTCATTTATTATATGATATATTATAAATTAATGGTTTGTTATATTATATAAAATAAAATAAACTTTTATAAGTCTATTCGTTCTCCCAACTATTATGCGGTATCTTGTATTTTCTTCCACACGATGAATCTTGTTAAAAAATTAAATATTTTTTTTTATATTTTGAATAAATGATGTTGGTTGACAATTTAGTTAATTTATAAAAAAGAATTAAAAATGAGAAAAATATAGGAAAAACCAATAGGGTATTTCAATTTTTGTCACAGAAAAATTGGTCTCATTTTTATGATCCTATTTAGGATCTAATGTGCAAATTCTTAATCGCGATTGATGTCAAGCTATTTGCAATATTTTCCACAACACATACCTATATACTATGTCTTCAGAGTATGTAGTTTTCTCCAGAAAAACTAAACTCAAACTAAGAGCATCTCTTATGGTGTTGTATTAAACGGAATTGATAGAGTAAAAAGTGTCTCAAATGGTGTGATATATCTTGCATTAATATAGAGATATACCGAGTGATACACCAAATATAACACTGTCCATTTACTATGTTTTTAAAGTGAAACTTTTTCTTTAAAAAAAATGACTCTTCATATTTATATATAGTTCATTTTAAAAATAACGTTCAAATCAAGTCTAGTACTATAAATAAACACACCTTTATAGAACTTGATAATAGGAGAAAAACAATTAAAATAAGAAAACTAAAAGAATAATTTTACATAATGGAGATTAGAATCATTTTCATGTCATTTTCATAATTACCATTTTGGTATTATTTTCATATCCAAGTTTGGGCTTAAAAGATGTTGACGAAGAACTATTGGTTAATTCCAGTCGCGAATACGGTGAAAGCGATATCGCCGGCTTCACAAGAGTACAATCTTTAATATTTGAGAATTTACAATCAGAATATACCACGAATCAAGAAAAATGCATGGACAAGATGAGAAATGGTTAAGAAATGTAATGAAGATGTTATTAAAGATATCCTTACGAGGAAACTTGTTTCTAGAGAATGTTGTGTGAAGGTAGTAAATGCTGGAAAATAATGCTACATGGAGATTAGAAAATTGATGTCTCAATTTTATCAACTCAAACGCTTTGCTTCTCAAATTTCTTTCAGAACTAATGATATCTGGGATAGATGCTTTCCTGAAGTTTTAAGTCTTTCATCATCTCACGATGACAAGATCGAATATCTGGATTAAACCTTTGTTATAGCTACTGATTTATTATATGATGTATTATAAAATAAGAGGGTGTTATACTATATAAAATAAAAGAATTTTTTTATCATCAACTCTTTTGTGGTATCCTTTTTACTCTTTGTTTCAATATGTAAATAGTTTTAGTTAAGAAGTGATAATATTAAGAAAACTGTTACTTTTGAAAGATATAATTTAATATATAAATTCAGCCAATAATATAAAGGCACCAATTATTGGATTGGTCACATAATATCCTATAAATGTAAATTTACTTTGGATTATGTAAACACCTTATATTGTGAAATAATTTTTGTAAACTACCTATATATTGAAACGGATGGAGTATAAATTTTTAATCATAATACTATTTGTTTCCTTATGATCTCTATTTTTTTTAATCTGTTTAGTTTTATTTTTGATTATTATAAAAAAATTATATCATTTTTTAGTTTTATACAAGTTAATTTAAATATCTTAACCAAAAGAAATACATGAAAGTATATCTAAGATTATAATTTTAAATCATTTATTTATTTTATCTTAATTTAGATTTAACTAAATCAAAATTTATATTAAAATATGATATAAAATAATAAAATCTAAAATATTACAAATTTTTATTTCTTAAATATAATTTAAATTTAATAATTTTATTGATGTACATGGTGCTCTTTCAATTTTTTCTAGTTTATATGATACTCTTTCAATTTTTTATTTCCTAAAGTTTTATTACTTGACGTTTGGATTGTGCATATAGATTAAAAACATTTTAGTTTTGTAATTGTTAAAAAAATAGCATTAACTATCTAATGAACCATAATTCAATCAATAGAAAATAAACTATAAAATATAAAATACTAGGATCGGTCCATCCTATGGGCATGATATACTTTACTTGTGATTTAGGTTACTATTTGTATGATTTCGTGGTTTTTCTTTAAGTTTACATTTTCAAGAGATGCATATGATAATTATTTTTGTCTTTTAGATATTTTTAGATGAGAAAAGATTATATGTGGTAAGATATATTTTGATTTTCTACAGTATTTATTTCTATATTAAATGGTTATGACATCGATATGTTGTGAGGGATTCAAAATGATCTTTATGTTTTTTCTTTAAAAACATTTGATCTCATATTTAATATCATAATTGTTTCCTTTTTATTTCTTAATATTAAGTTTTGTACATATTAAATAAATATTTTTTTTATTTAATCTCATACACTGACTTTTAGAGTCATCGATCTGAAAAGAATGGTTTTAATATATATAAAATCATCTATGCTACAACTGAAATAAAAAGCAAAGAAAATACACTGGTTAAATATTTAATCATTTGTTTATAGAGAATCATGAACATCGATCCTCCATGAAACTTCTATGTAAATAGAGCTTAGTAAATTATAAATTTCTCTTTTCGAGAAAAAAAATCTCCATTAATTTTTCTATACTATTTTATAATATTTTTCCCTTTCAATTTTTCATTCCTAAAATAGAAAACTATAAAAATAGAGAGAAGTTTTGTTCCAATGGTTATCTTAATTTTTTAGTCTAAAAAGAAATATGCTTATTATATTTTTTCTCCACTTATTTATTAATTTATTGTTTAACCCATATTTTAAATGTTGAATTTGTACTCTCATATTTTATCACTTTGATTCTGTAAATAAAACATTGAATTATTTAAAGAATTGTAAGAAAATAATTGTTAGCCAATGTATAATAAAGTTGCTTCTTTAGACCAAATGTGAACTCGCAAACGATGATGAACCCTAACGGAGGCTACAGGTTTAGAAGTCCAAGGTAATCCTGCTATTGTGTGGGTTTCAGACCAAAATAGGTTATTCAAAGCCTATGATAAAAGATTCCTGTCAGCCCAAGGAAAGGAGAAAGTTCTTTGTAAAGAGACACATATCAATGTGACACTATTAAAGAAGAGAAAAACTACTTTTTATATATAGATATTAGTATAACTAATTTATTAATTATTATTATTAATAAACTATGATGTGTTTTTTATGATACAAAATGACAATGATTGTTCATGTTAATTTCAGTTTAATTACATATCTAAATTAAAAAAATATGTATGACTGTTCATGTTCTTTTCAGTTTATCCATATATTTTAAAATTAGAAAGTATGTATAAATCTAATATTTATTTAAAATCAATTTACATATTTTTTTCGTTGGTATTGAGATGTACTATATTTATTAATTTAAGTTTTTGGATATAGTTTGTTTCTAAGTAATGTTTTACTTTGGATTTTTTTCTTATACGCCATTATACTGATTGATTAGTATACTATTTGCGGTTATATAACTTGTATCTGATAGTTAATGTATATGACTATTTTTGAGGTTCTCGCCAACAGTAGCCTTTGCATAACTTCTAAAAAGAAACTGTCAACTTTGGTGAGAAATTGGTAGTCTCAACATAAGCCATCTAGTTGGGGTGGAAATGGTGTTCATGTGGTGGGATAGTGTTCTTGGTGCTTATCGGTCCCATTTCTTAAGTTTATTGTTAGGTGATAGGTTTTGGTAGTGTAAGTTCATTGTTTATTTGGAAAAAATATGAGCATCTCTAAATCATTTCTTGCTTGGTTTTAACTCTTATGCATCCGATTTCAGGTTTGGAGGAAGAGTTTCAGAATGTTATATATGTTTCATTCGCTCGTATGATTGCAAAAGAGATCAGTTACCAAAATGTTTGTTGTCAAAATATGAAGGACCCATTAGTAAAAAAATGTTTTTAAGAGACCCGAAATAAAATTTGAATTAATTTAATTTTTTTTCCTATAAATAGAGAGAGATTTTATTTTAAAACAACCAAAACGCCTTTTTAAAAATCCTAAAATAATTAGAGCAATTTGCACACAAATTCTAAAAAGATGCAGTAATTTGCAAGATGGAAAAAACACTTTAGAGCATCTCCAAAAGACACTCTATAACTTCAAATATGAAGTTTTTGCTTCTCCAAAAAGGAACTCTAAAACTTTAAATTTGAAGTTTTGAATAGTGAAACTTCAAATATAGAGTGTCACTATTCAAAACTTCAAATTTGAAGTTTCATATTTTATTTACACTTTGGTCCTTACAATTACACATCATATTTATAATAATCTTAAATATTTATTATTTATCATTTTAATCCTTAAAATTACTATTTCATAAATAATTCAAAATTATTTTTATAAATTTAAATTTTTTATTTAAAAAAAAAGCATCAAGATAATCTTTAAAATATTTTAAAACTAGAAGTAGACAACAACAATATTACATGATATAATGTGGTATTTTGTTTGTACTTTAATATTTAATTATATATTTCTATTTATAGTTTTATATTTTAGTGTAATATTTTATCAAATGGTATTTCTATAATATTTTTATACATTATATTATAAGGACCAATATACAAAAGGTTATGAATTTGAGTTAGTTATGACAAATATAAGGGCCATTATATAAAATATAAATAGTTTTAAAGTTAGGTTTGAAGTTTTGCTTTTGGAGTATAACACCTTCAAACTTCAAATATAGAGTTTTGCAAACTCTATAATAGAGAGTGTTTTTGGAGATGCTCTTAGGCCCACCTTCAAGAGACAAAAAATGTCCATAATAACCCTATTCCTTCTTTTGTTTACGTTTGAAGCTGAAAAACTAGTAATGATTAATATTTATGTAGTTTGTGCATATCAAAGTATAGCCACCTAAATTTGACCAGTAATGAAACATGCATCTCTCTCTCTCTCTCTCTCAGAG